TGAAGCGAAAATTTGCTCACCTTCATTTAGCGAGGAAAACTTTCACTTCATCAGTTGAGGGAGGTCTTATTATGAACTACTTTTGAAACGCGCCGTTTGGTCGACAAATATACACACTTCCCTTTCATATTTACAAATCCTATTTCTCGAAATTGAATAATTCTTCAGCGATATTGGAATTTTGTGAGGCATTTAGAGATGAACAGCTTGAAGACATTTTAGAGGGTTGAATCAAGATACCAGGATTCTTTCCACGACGTCTAAATTACCCCTCAAAGTACCAAAATAGTCCCGAATTTCCCCATAGGTTTTTCGGAACAGCGTCTTGTCTTCCGTGAAACTTCACACTGAAGAGAAGTATATTTAAAAGGACTAACGAACCAAATGTAATAACGCCAGTAGGATGTATGGTACTACACACATGCACCGAAAATTTTATCCTTTAAGACTAGAACTTGGTCATGGAGATACTCCTATTTCGACGATCTAATAGTATTATATCCCATCAGAAATCGTTCACACTCTTGCTTAACCAACTCATATGAAATGACACTCGAACAAGGAATAATGAAAAACGGTTAGTTTTGATATTTGGCAGAATATCACTCTTAATATATTTAATCCTACTCCAAAGATAATATGGTGGAGATGTGTGGCTGACACTTTCATAGAGTTACATTCACAAGATGTCTTCACTTTCTTCACACATATGAACTCACTATTAGGGGGAAGAAAGTTCATGTTTGAGTCAGAAAATGAACAAGCAGATTGCAAAATAAAGTGAACAGAAGAACTAGTGAACTATGCACTAGCGTTTATAAAAAGTCTACGCTTTCTAGTAGATATTTAGACTTTAATTCATCTCATCCGTCATCTGTGAAGACAAGTTTTGTTAAATGCCTGACAAACAGTGCCATAACTCTGAGTAGTACATTAGAAAACCTGAAGAGCTGAGTAAATTAGGTAGACGAAGCGTTAGTGCTAAATAGCTATCCCACAGAGATCATTAAGGAGATCACGGAAGCTCACAAGAGAAGGAGAGATAATAGCGAAACTATAGACCATAAGATAATTGGATAAGAATTTGAGGCACCTACAATTTCACCATATAAGCAAATGACATATAAAATCCAACATAAGATTCTTAACAGAGCAGCAACTATGCTGGTATTCGAACCAACAAACTCTCTGCGAAACAAGCCCTGTAGGCTAATGGGCCATACTTACACAATCGAACAAAATAACTTTATTTACAAAATCCCTTGGAATGGCTGTGAGGTCGACAATATAGACCAATTACGCTTGCTACATTACGCAACTTTTTGTATAAAATTCACAATTTTCATGATATCACTGCTTGAGAATGATATCACCGAAAAGATGAGTACCTCTTCACTGAACGCTTTTCCTTTTATAATCGAATATGTTAACAACGACCACACAGTAAATGTTACTCACCTCTCTTAGGGGTTTTCAAAACGATTTACAATGTAGTTGTTTAACCACGATAGAACATTAATTACACCTTAGTTCCTTTAATTCAACCACATATACGAGGTTGACATTCTACTGATAGAATTTCTTTACTAACGAATTCAAGATATTTACGTAACTGGACAAAAAGGACACCATGTTTTCTCGAAGGCCTTACAGCTAACCAACAGTGAACCTGAAGCGTTTAAAGGCTATGATGATGATGTCAGATGTCGTGATTAGACTGAAGAAGTATATACCAAGGTGTTGAAATTCCCTTTCGCTTTCCGATTAAAAGTCAATACTATTACTTTACATCTAACTCAGACTATCCAGCTTATCATCAAAATTAATCACAAATGTCAATTTGAAGTGCATTAAATCATAGCGGCACACTTCTATACTGTGACTACAAACTGAGGTTTGTGTAGCATTAGGTAATTAATTCCTCAGAATTATTGACCATAGCACTCATCACTGAACACTGGATCCTGAACCTCACTATTTTAGTCGATTTGTTTAGCTGAAGGCTACCGGTCATGCATCCACGACATTTGGCACGCCACAGTGTTGCGTTCGCTCGTTCATGCACGATCCTTAGCTTAACATTTTTGATTTTGGAATATTAAACAAAAATTGTCCACTCAGAGAAGCGAATGAACGATTTTTACAATATTCAAGTTGAGTACACACACAAACACAAAATACAATTATACTAGAAATCAATAGAAAAATAAGTACAAAATAATGATTACTTATTAACATAAGTAACCTTCGTAAAGATAAATAAATAAATATATGAACGTAAATCGGTCAATTAAGCTATCAAAAATAATAGACAGAAGAAGTGTAGAAAAATTAGCACAGCACAGCAGCTCATGTTGAACCCAATAATGTGTACTTTTTCTGCAGTACTATAAGATGGAAGTGTTTTTGTACATGTATGTGTAGTTGTGAGTGATTGTTTATGTCATATGTTGATGTGACATATTCATGACTGGTACAAAAGTATGATTTTTAATAATTTATTTCGTCGCTGCAGATTGTCACGTCGAGAATGTATGCCACACCGTCTAATAGGATAATCATATCTGGTTGACAGAAAGACGTGGGCGTTGGAACACGTGGCTCGATGTAAAATCTGGTATTGGATTTGCGGAGTTTGTTGGCGATCAGCTTGAGGACGTCGTTGTGTCTCTTCCATCTGACCTCATGAGTAAAATCGCGATGCTGAAGAATATACTGAAGATTTTCTTGTTGACCACACCTGCCTCTGCAGTTGATGTTGACTCTAGGACGTCCCTGCGCATTTCTCGTTTTTGTGCCCAAGAGTTCTCCACGCAGTTGAACGGCCCGTACATAGATTTTGGGCAAGACCATTTCAGAGTTGAGAAGCCATTTGTGAGATTCGGAACATGTTGTTGATTCTGTCAAACCATAACCATCCACTGATGAGTGTAGCTGTTGTGCCCAGCTTTCATGTGCTTCTTCTGCAGATGTTACCATTTGTCTGCGGGCTTGCATCGGAAGATTGCAGATCCCAAGAAAAGGCGTGAAGGTGGCGGAGGGCGCTATGCTACGTATGAGCTGATTCCTATTGTTGAGCAGTGCCTCGATTCTTTTGCGTCTATGGCTTGGAGTCGTTGTTGACAGATTCACGATTCCCAGGCCTCCCTTTTTGATATCAGCGTGGAAAAATGCAGTCGGAGTGTCCTTCGGGAGGTGAAGCCATCGGCGGACAGCTGCGCGAATAAGTTTGTCCATCGTTTTCAGAGTCTTTTTGTGAGTGACGCTGAGAGTCAGTGAGTAGAGTAGACGAGGAATCAGATTGCTCTTCTGGATTTTAATTCGTTGATGAGGTTTGAGGGGGGCGCGTTTCACATTGTCTAAGTATCCATTGAGGACGCCCACATGATCGAAGCAGCTCCTGCCTTTGTAATTGAAGGCAACAACCAGATAGGTAAATTCCTCTGTTGGCGAGATGGCTGGAATTGACTGGCAGTTGATATTGAAGATAGTTGGAGAAAGAGCTATGATCTTACGCTGTCTGTCAGCGACTATGTTGATTGTACGGCTTTTGTTGACGTTGATCGATGATCCTGCAAGTTCCGGCGAGGCGGCGATACAGCTGAGTTCGTTTTGAAGAGCCGTAGCGTTTGGAGCTAGGATGACGAGATCATCAGCATATGCTATGTAGTGTAAAGGATGACCATCAACGTAGATGGGGTCATGGGCTTCACGAACATTGAGTATCTCATCTATAGTCATGATGAAGAGAAGCAGGGTGACAAAGGGTCACCCTGTTTGACCCCCGTATTGAATGACACTTCACTTCGTGGAAGAGACTGTAGGAGTTGGAACAGTAGTTTGTAAGATATTCTGTAAGTATTGAGGGCGCACCAAAACTTTCAGCCACCCTTAAAATTGTTTGATGTAGGACGCTATCGAAATGCCGAGAATAGCTAATGAGCAGCTTGTGTAGTTGGAATGCGTTTCTCGCAAGATGGCATGAAGAAGATTGGTCGCTTCGAAGCAGCCATCACGTTGCAGGAAGGCAAACTGTAGTTTTTCCATTGGGAAGGATCTGGACCAGTGCTTGGCGATAATCTTGTGTAGACAGCGCGTAACGACAGAAGTTATGGAGATAGGCCGGAAGTCAGTAGGGTAATCGGGGTGTGATGTTTTCGGAATGAAGGTAACCCTGGAAGCCGACAGGGGTGAATGTACAAAAGACGTCAGCAAAAGAGTGTTTAGATACCCAGCCAGACTAGTGTGGTTAATTTTTTCCCTAGCAGTTATGCGGTCAACACCGGCCGCGAATTCGATCATTTCTTTTAGTGCCCATTTGATCTCTTCAGTTGAAACTGGGGCGATCAGGTCGTTATTAGTTGGAAGGTATTCCTGGACAAGTCTAGTGCCTGGTAGGGCTGGGTGCCTGAAGGTTTCTATCCAAAATTCATTGAAGCCTCCTATAGCGGAAGGCTGGTATGTAAACGGGTCTGCCATCTGCCATCAAGTACCGTGTTCGCAGCATCTTTTGGAGAACGGTGGAAGAGCTTTTGCATGTAGGCATATAAAATGCGACGCCTCTTCTTGTTGTTTGATCGGAGACCGGAGACGTATCGCTGCTTGGATGGTTTCCATCTTGTAGGGAACAGTTGTTGGACCTGCTCATCCAGAAGTTGATGTGTCTCCTCAACAGTATTATCATTCACATATAGTTGCATGATAATTTGTCGAGTGGATTCAATGTCCAGTCGCTGAGAGGAATTCGCCAGTTTTGTGTTGATGGCAGCCATGAGGTTAGCATGTATATTGTCCATGTGGAGGCCTCTATGAAGTGTCATATTCACTAGGGGAGTTAAACCATCTTGAGTTAGTCGAGTAGTTGGCATAATTTGTCGTTGAGCTTCGTGTTCAGAGTTTGGAGTGGGTGACGAAGTTCGCTTGGGCGAGAAGGCGTTGACAGTTTAAGAAGTTGGAACCGATTCGTCAATATCAATAGTATCCAGAAGTGGTTGGATCATTGACACAGCAGTGGGAGAATATAAATTTGTTCTGTTGACGGTACTTATTGCATAGTGGTACTGGTATTTGCATTGATTGGGTGAATTCATCGAATACGAAGTAATCATTAATGACGGCACATTGGAGGGCTTGCTGTTCCTTCGGCTGAGTCAGCATATTCTGCATGGACTTGTAGGAGCGGAAATTGATCTGTTGACGGAGAACACATCAGTGGGTGAGGTACTTGGCTCAGTTTGTCGATAAGACGTATTTGAAGTGAGGACTATTGTTGGTAGAGATGGGTTAAGTGTACGTCTCCACTTTAGCTTGCATAGACGCTTACAAATCACACTGGTGGTGCGGTTGCCAATGGTTTCAGCAACAAGAGCGAAGAACTGTTTAGGCGCAAGTGAAGGGGAATCGAGACATCTGGCAGTTGACATCAACCGAGAGCCTTCTTGAGCGGACCAAGTTTGAGGCCTTGAACGTATATGCAGTGCTGATCTAGCAGCATAGCTTTCATGTGATGATGCAGGTGAGGATGGAGTCGAATAGGAACCAACGGTTGATGCAGAGCGCGATGATGACGGGACAAATGTCATCCATTTGAGTGTTTGCAGACGGCGTTTGATGACTTCAACTAAGCGATGTGACAGATGGTCGTGTAGGTGTTGATACAGTTCGGCTTGGCTGATGAATCGATCGACTGCTGCGTCTGCTAACATCAGTAGGGTGTGTTCTTCATTTTGTCACCAACTTCGTCGTGTTCGACGGTCGTTGAGGAGACGACCGAGAGGGACCTCATTGTATTCGGCGGGGTGGATTTGGCGCAGATGTTGAGATAAATCTCTCGGAGAAGCGAAGTTTGAAGGACAGTATATACACAGGTATCTTGGAGACACGATTGAGGATAGGGATTGATTGGACCACGTGGAGTGAGGTGATGATGGATTGGATGTGATGGGCGAAAGATGAGCTGCTGGCAGTTGGGAGATGAGGAAAGGAAAGCAGGAGGCTGTTGGTTGAGGGTCAGCTTGAATCATGGCACAGGCCGTGGATTGTGATGAGGGTTGGCTTGACATAGCTGACATGTGCGTCGGTGGCACAGTGGTTAGGACTCTCGCCGACCATGCACATGGTCCGAGGTTCGAGCCCACGCCGACGCACACCTGATATCTATGGTCGGCCTGCGAAATTTGGGCTACCGATATCCACGCTGAAAATTCCATACTTGTATCAAAAATACAGTGTGGAATCAAGCTGTAATAAAAAAAAAATGACTGGAGATCGCGGTATCGCAGGCTCGAGTGTGAAGGACAACCAACAATGGACTGTTACTTGTGCCACGGACCGTTCATAGGCCCTCACCCGTGGCTTGAAAAATGGTTAAACCAAAATTAGCAAAACAAACGAAAAAAGTACTATTGTAAAAACCTCCACGAAATCACTTTGGGATTGAAGCAGAAAAGAAAGCCTTAAATGAATGACGGGGAGGATGTGATTTGAAAGAGACCACTTTCTAAAACAATACGAAGGAGATGCAGCGTCAAAAAGGTTATAGTTACAATAATTCGAGAAAGGCAACGAAATGAATACAATAATGACGTAATGGGGATTTCCATTTTTAAAGGTCAAAACTGTCGGAGATAGAGTGTCAAAACGGGTATCAAACTACAGATCTCGATGAGAGGAGTCGAGGGATACCAAGAACAAAGAAAAAAGGAAAGAAATGTGGAAGTTACAGAGGGGGCCTCACAACTTTTACACAAATAATACGAGTGTGAGGCTTTTCGGTCAACAGAGTGAAAAATGATGGGAGAAGTTGTTTTGGATGGTTCAGGGCAGAGATATTTGGACAAAGAAGAAAAAGACTGAATACATCTGAAATACTAGGGGTGAGATTGGGAGAAGAAATGGAAAAGGTCTCGTGGAGGGAAGGCGAAAGGTGATGACGGGATAAAAAGTGACCTCGGTCTTACCGGATAGACCAAGGGGAATTAAAAATAAGTGTCACTGTCACTAGATCGGAAAATCCCTTATGGAGAACAAGGTACTTCAACGACAAAAATAGCTGAAGGTACCAAAAACAAAATGGTGTGGAAGAGAAATGAACAAATAATGGGGATAAAATAGGTATCAAAAGATTCAGCTCGGCGAGCTCCAACTAATAATTACAATTTCAGAAAGTTAGAATGAGATGCAAAAGAAATAATAAGTGAAAATATTGGGAAGTCACTGTTTTTCAGTCAGATACTGGAAGTTAGTTAACAAGCAAAACTCGTGAGTCGAGGTAATTCCTTGGTAAAAAGTAAATGAAAAGAACGGGTTTGCGGACTGGTAACACCGTGCTATAATTAATGGTGAAAGAACTTAGATTTCAGATGAAACTAACGAAAAAGTAAAATTCCGAAAGCCAGGGTTTAAGGTAGTTTCGGACTATCACTCAGTTGAAACGACTGGAGATGAAAATCTTCAGATTTTCTCTATAACCAACACTAAGTCAATGAAAATAAACTATTCAGAACACAAAAAAACGACAGCTGTAAACTGATAATAATCCTCCCATTGGAATAATAGAGATGCTTAAAAGGGGGCAACTTGAGTCAAGGGTAGAGTTCGTTGAAAAAACAAACAAAAAGAATAACCGGTAAATAACTACAGATATAGCGCTAAATAGATAATATCCAGCGTAAAACTTCTAAAAATTGCACAGACTCACCGAATTGAGCCTGATACATCCCATAAAATATACATCCAAAACCTGCAGAGGACAGGGTCAGTGAAAACAGAGTTTATACAATAATTCCAAGGCGTAAATGTATCTCTAATGTATTTCTATGTGTAGAATGTGAAAATTAGAAAGTTTCTAGCAGATATTGTGTGTAAATAGCTTGTTTACAGTATGAAAGAGTTCAAACGCAAATATAACGCAAGCAATCATCTCGCACTCAGATTTAGTCCCGAAATATATCTCGTAATTTGGACGATGAACTATCGTGTTTTGTTTTGCCTTTGGTCTACGCTGAACGAATACTATAGAAGTTGTGGGTGGGTATTAGATCTCGCGCTAGTATACTTTGTACTATCCGCAAACGTCAATACCGTCAACATCTAAAATAAGAACCAAACAGGTCTGAGGTATACCTAAAAACTCTAGGAGATTGGGTACAAATGCATGGAATGCTTTTCAACCTCATAAAAAGCAAGGCAGTTATTAGCATACGATGAAGAGATCAAGTTACCCCCTACCTAGGTGGTGATAACGTGACCTGTACAGCGAGCGTCACAGCGCAATTTACTTTCCGCTCTATTGGACAAAACTAATGCAATCGCGAATTGACCTTGTAACCTGTGCAGGACATGAGTTCTTCGCACTCCACCTGAAGGCATTTTCGTGCCATTGCGCCAGGACTCCTTCTAAATTTGTATAAAAAATGTATATAACTTCAGTCTAAGGGGCAAAGTAATATTTCTACCAGCACCATTCCCACCTCAAAGTGGCAAAAACATCTTGACAAAGTGATATGTATCCACATATATATAATTATGTGTGTGTGTGTATGTTGGTCTCGCCTTCTGTTTGCTCGCTTAGTCTGTGACCATTTCACTTGTATGAACCTGTCTCCTTTAACAACGTATATTCCCCTTATATTATATATAATACGAGTGTTTGTTGACAGTCCGTTGCTTGGTGACATATATCCATGTATGGTGGTTGTTGACATGTCTGCTATATTTCGCTATGCATATATGGATCGATACTTCATTATAATTAGCCATTCATGTTAAGTCTGTCTAATGATTGTTCACAACCTTGTCATATATATATTTCGTTCTCACAATTTGTGTGACTTACTGACCACTTTGGTGTGTTACCACTTTTGCATTCTCCTTGTGTTTGGAAAATAGAAGTATCATCGCAAACCTAGTGGTCTTCTGATTTCCGCCTTCTTGCGTCAGGACTATTAGTTTCTCGACCAGTCCATAACAATAATTTGTCGACGAGTACATAATAATTTGGCGACGGGGAAAACTACTATTAACCACTCAGCAGCAGCAACATAACACAAGGTACCAAAGAAGTTCGACGCAGGAGGTTGAGGGAAAAATCGTGTAACGAAAGGTTGAGGTAACAAGGTTTTCCTGCACGGAGTTACTACCGACAAATGGGTGATATAACCAGTTTATCAGATAAAAAATGCCCAGCAGAATGTCGAAAAGGATATATTGCCATTAAATCATAACGGATTATGTCATGGAAACTAACGAAGGATCGAAGACGAGATGGAAATAGAATTTATTACGCTCCTATTTCTTTTTTTTTCATAAAGTCTGCCGCTTATGAAACTATTTACAAGCACCCGTATCACCTTTGATGTAGCAGCGATATACTGAATTTATCAGCGAGTCTCAATTGAAATCACTTGAAGCGCTACTCAGTCTCCTTTGTCTCACCCTTCTGGCTGCACTACTTGTCCACCTGTTTTATATTTCTAATTTCCTTTGTTGACAGTCTACCTATTTGTTTGTTGACTCTGCTCTTTAAATTATTTGCCAACGGTCCAAAAACTCAACCATACCCTACTTAGCTCGTGTTCTGTGCGATAAAGAAAGCACTAGGCGTGATACCTATAACTTATTAAATAGTTAGTAGAACAACTGAATCTCGTCTTTGCAACTCACATCATTTTAGGTACAACGTTTTCTTTTCCTTTTCTCTCTCTTTTTTCTGTTATGTGCTGTTTTGTTTCTCTCTTTATTACAAACTCTACTTAAAACATTCTTCTTCGTCCTCTCACACTCTCTGTATATCTCGACCTTTTGTTACCGCTTACGCCAGTAAATATGCTAGTATATCTACTTTTCTAACACTTTCAAGCACCCTGTTCAATTTCGGCTTTGCTACCGACATGCCAATATCTTGTTGTCATAACTAACTGAGATTACCCATAATCTATGTAGGATTTTATTTATTGTTTATTGTTAATGTACTAAATGAATGGAATACTGTAGTGAAATGGTGAGAATTCCATTCTGTATCGCAGATAATGTTTTGGAATAAAGAAAATTATTACTATTATTATTATTATTATCTCGCTCTGCGACACCTCAAAACTAAGGTGTAAAAGAACTGACTAAAGGCACAACCTCGCCATGGTCTTGTAAGGTACTAATAGTGCTACTGACTAACTGGTCTATAGTGGCCTTACTAAATTTAGTATATCTAATTACCCAGTCAATCAATACTCCACCTATCCTGTAATTGTGGTGAGAGCTGTCGGCTAACTAGCCAAAATTGGTAGACAGTAATTTACGTCCAAATGTTCTAAATGTCCCCAATATTGATCAACCAACAACCAATCACAGCACACTTTGTTTGCGTAGGCGGATACAATTACCAGATAGATAGATATACGATCTGACCTTCAAGAAACAGTCACAAGGAGATGAAACAGACAATCAGAAGACTGTGGTGTTTATCTGCTAACAAATATCGATTGATTTCGTCAACAGACGATTTGTTGCCTGGCCCTTGTTCGTCCGTTGTTACACTAGCAGTAGTGGTGAGTTTACAATAAAAATCATAAACTTCATACAATTGATTCCCTTGATAAATTTCGATAAAGAAAGGAAGACGAAACTTGCAGTATAAAATGATGCCATCATTCTATTTCATAGGTTCTCATCAGATGCAGACTACCTGAAATTACAATGGTTATATAAATGATAATAACTTACTTCAATGTTCGAGTGGTACTAAAGAAGAGATAAGATTGACGCATCCAAAATGAAAGCATTACAATTTTAGTTTAAGTTTTCATCATCAATTTATACGCTTTTGAAGTTGAAAAGAGGAGGAGGGGTAAGACAGAAAAAATTGATTGACAGAACAGTGTTAGCTTGTAGGTTCACATAGGAACTCCAAAAAGCAGAAGCGGTTACAGTTTATGAGATTAGGATTTGTTCAGTGAGTTGAGATCACTGAATTAGATGAATATTGTAATTAATGTTATCAAAATTCGCTTACCATGGATTGCTAAACCATATAAGGAGGGAGGGATCATCTGAGACACTCAATCCCTACGTAAGATCCTAATAATCAAAGCAGGTGGCACTTAAACCTGCAAACTCACTCACTCAGGTAGGACAAGCTCTGTATGTTGAGTTAAGGGACCCTGTCGGTTGACCCGATTAGACAATATAATGTCATTTACAAAATACTCTACAATGACTGTCAGTTAGGTCAACTACATAGGTCAGTCAAACTAGTAGGTCAGGGGTAGTTGGATTGTTGGAACATAAGAATTTAGTTAGCACCACCAATCAGAAGACTATGTTTTTCTGCTAACAAACAATCTGTTTGCCTAGACCCTGTCTTCTGTTGTTACACATTAGTAGTAGCGGGAGTAGCGAGTTAACAATAAAAATCACAAACTATATTATAAATATTCAAAATTCAAGTTGTTGTTTTTATTTATTTTATTTATCACTGATATCTAAAGAAGTGTGCAACAAAGAAAAATGAATATATATTAAAGAAATATCACCCGTCTGGCAGCTCTTTCTGTCCGTCTGTCTCCATGCGAAATAAACCTAGTGAGTGAGTGAAGCCCATGTAACACCACGTTTAAAAAACCAAAAACAAAAAAACTCCTTTAAGTGAAATAAAAAAAAATAAAGTCAGAACAAAAATTAAAAAAAAGAATAAAATAAACACTACAGTAGGAGGAGGAGGAGGAGGAGTGGTAGTGGTAGGGAGCATTTTTGTAGCAATACCTGTACCCGCATAATAATGATAAGTGAGATAAGAAAGATTTTATTGATTTATTTTTTCTTTGTTCTATTCAAAAATGTTGTTGTTGTTGATGTTCAGAATCGATCATCTCAGGCTCCATTTCATAGTGTTTAAAATCAGCTAGCACATGTGCAAATATTGACCAATCTTCAGTGTTTGGTTGTGAAAGACTTTCGTGAACATTGCATATAGTGACACGACTAATATCATCAGCAGCGGCTAAGTGTAAACCAGATGTATGCCAACGACATTTATTTATAGCGACTACATCAACTGCTGATATGGATGAGGATAGAGATGTAGGCGGAACACTTTTATTACTGGATGACATAAACATACGACGAGCAACAGGCACCTGAAGTGAAAAAGAAAAGAAAATCATAACATACCATGATTTATTATTGGAGAGAAAAAGTTTAATTCCATAAAGGATTTCATCATCACCTCTAACATCAATTAGAGAACCCCTGGAAGACCTCCAAGGAGTGTACTGGACACCTGTTTCGACAGACTCCTTTGGAACTCTTCATCGGTACGCACCTACCTCTCCAATGTTGGAACCCAGGACCTTCTTGTTACAAGGGGAGCTCTAGGACGAAACAACTTTCCAGTGGCTCTATAACTGATGTCAGCTCATGATGAAATCCTCCACCCAATCAAACCAAATCCCTCCGAAACCAATACCGTGAAATTAAGTTTAGTCAGACAGCCAGAGAGAGATAACAAAATGCATTAAGTTATTTTCGAGGATGATCAGCAACAACAATTTGTATTTGTACAGGTTTAAACTAGTTCCAAGGTTAGAAAGAAGAGAACACGAAGTTCAGAAAAGATGACAATATTTTCGGCGATTTCATTTTTCAAAAGTAGCTCTACAATCGCATTTAAATACATAATTTCACATGCATACAATACAATTCTTGTTTGATTCCACAGATTCACGACGGCGAATAAAAGGTGACAATTATTTTCAACTAGATATGGTTTACTAGGAGAGGCTTAGAAACAAAATTACACAGGATCTATTTCAACTTCCTTGTACAAACTTTTGAACAACAGATTCTCGGTTGGTTCGTTCCCTGCCATTTTCGCCTTCTTGGGAAACCATCTGGTCTTCAGTGGGGAGTAAAGGTAGCTGTTGATTAAAGTCTGAAGCCTCTCCGGAATATTTTGCTGTGACTCTGCAAATCTCTGAACCATATGGAAGAGCATCATGGCTGAAAATCCGAAATTTGTCTTTTATGAACGAACGTCTGATCTGCTGGTCCGATCCCGGTTGCGACATCTCCATCCGTCCACCATAATTAGGAATAACATCCTTGGCGCGGTAGTAGTCGGCCTTGTCCTTCTCCTGTGTATTTCTTTCTGCCTACGTGAACTGCAGTATACCAGTTTCAGTTTTTTGAAACTAATCCTAAGGTCTAATGCTTATAGCTGTAGTAAAAAATTTAGCGATAATCTTCCTAAAGAGAAAATCCCTTTGTATTTGAAGTCACATGCTTCGTTAACTCAAAGGGTCTTGAATGCCTATTTACTAAATGAATCAAAATGAAGGCGTAATCAAGATTATGGAATGGGGAGGGGAAAATAAATCATTCCCCTTCTATGTACATTTCATCATACAGGTTTAACCTGATAAATCTAATGGAATGTGACATAATTTGATGAACGGTGTCAAAATCTACGTTGACGTGTGTGTGTGTATGTGTATGTGTTCTGTCTTTCCCAGACAAAAAAAACAACAACAACAAAATTCAGCTGTTAACATGAATTTTTCATAATGCAAAAATTAGTCGAAATAATTCTGCTGTTCAGATTTCTTGCTTGGGATACCTCCTATCTTGCTTGTTTACTTCAGCTAACCTTTACCAACCTCATTCAACAGCTGGTTATAAGCCAATTCCACATAAATCGAATGATTCACAACGGAAAACTCACAAGAGCCTTTGAAGTGTAAGACAGGGTTGTCCATTTTCACTAACGATGATATTCTTCCCTCTTGCATGACTTGCCTCACTCTGACGATGAAATCGACTTTGTTAAGTATGCTGACGATCTAACTATTTCAGTGCCTGTTATAACTCCCAGCTAGACTGTACTAATATGAATAGCTTTCTATCAGGAGTTAGCAAATGGTCTTCGTCTAATGGTCGGCCTTAAACTAAAATCCTTCCAAATGTCAGACTGTTAATTCCAGTTTCCGATCTAAAAGAAGATTTAATGAGAAGCTGACCCTTGCACAGCTGATGATACTGGTATAGAAACCAAGTTTGAAGTTAAGAATCATGGATTAATTCTCCCTTCAGACCTATCCTGGTCTTCCCATGTCTTAGAAAATTCTGAAAGAATATTTTGCCTAACAATTTACACTAAGCAGTTAAGGCGATCAGGTATAACTCAAACCCTCCTCATCCACCTGGTCAACTTGTGTATTTTACTTCTTCTTCTTTATTATTCATCCTGATTTCTTTCAAGTCATCTCACCGTAGGTGTTGTTGAAGACAGGATGAGTTGAATGTTTAAGTAGAAGTAGAAGTGGTAGTAGTGTTAGTAGTAAAAGAAGAAGTAGAAGTTCTAGCACGAGGAGAAGGTGGAGAAGGAGGGAGAGAGAGAGGGAGAGGCAGAAAAAAGGCAGTCATTGCGGAATAAAATCCACGTCACGAAGTGAGAAATATTACTAGAAAAGAAGTCAGTTACTAATACTGTATCACTATTTGTTATATCAAATAAACTTATTTCGAATGGAATTCTATTCTATGACCAGAATGTCCCGAGCCCACTGTCTATCTCACTGGTCATCTGTTTGTCTAATCCACACTGCGTATTCACATTCAGCTGATTAGTCTGAAAACAAGTTGGACGACAAAAAAAAGCTGTACGTGTGATCAAATCTTCTCATATATGCCTCCTTACATTTTCATTTCTCTCAAGATGTTGAGTTCTACAAGGATTCGATTAGTGAGGGACCGGTGGAGTTTGACACGTCCGAAGTACAGCGGATGCGCATCACTTGGAGATGGCAAAGTGATAAGAGTTTCAATTCATTAACCATTGAACAGTAACCAAGTGACTGGATGATTAGTGTTTGACTTGTAACCTGATGGTCCCTGAAGGACACAAGCAGCTGAATAGTCTCAAGCTGTGACAAATCATCTGCTCAGTGCTCCGTGGTGACCTACATTCCTCCGAATAACGTCGGTTTCCGACGCAGTCTACATGGAAATCCCGATTTTCTTCATCTTTTTGGAACAGCTTGGAGTAAATGGCCGAAATAAACGTTGAAATCTCTCATGTATATATATATATATATATATATATATATATACATCTATATATCGACCGCTATCTATCTCAAATTTACGCATCGACTATTACACTTCTGAATCTGTTTTCCTGTTAAGGACTTCTTCAAATTTTGTTGCTGTATGAACTTCCCTACTCGTCGTTCAGTGTGCAACATACCTGTTAGATACGAGCAGAGGTCGTATGCTATTAAGGGTAAGAAATTATCCCCAGTTGTGTACAGGAGATTTCCTAAACTCATAGATCCTCAGCCTCACACATAATCAGTAATCCTTTTCAGTTCCGTATGTCACTTTATACTTCACCACACTTGGTCAAATGAACCCTACTACTGAAGACATCTTCTCGCTGGAAATCCAGAAACTTCATCCCGCCCCAATCCAGTACCAGCACTTATATTAAGACTGACTGAGTACTACTGATGACTTCCAAACTGGAAGGAAACAGCTGTACAGCAAGTACTCCTCGACGCTCAATGATTTTACAACCGATGTCAGTGCTTGATGTAGCCGGAAGCCAGTCGAATTTCATCTGCATATACTAACCACTCGAAAGGCAAAACAATCAAAAACCACTTAGCCCTTTCACTTCACTGCTTCTACCAAATTGTATAAAATAACTCAAGGAAAAACAACATTGAAACATAAACATACAGAAAGATTATTCAACATCACTTACACGAGCCTCCTTAGGTGTGGAACAGTAAGATGCTGTTGTCGACGTCGTCAACTGACTTTCCCATATTCGATACAGATCCGTGGCTATAGCATGTTCCCGTGTATCGCTACTATGCTTCATTGCGATACACGCAAGCTCTTTCAGCAAACAATGAATGAAAGCCAATCTTGTCGTAATCACTCCCTCATTCAAATCCTTTTTAATAGGATATAGTAATCCATCAATCAACTTCTTCAATCCCCGTGAAGTTAGCCCATATCTGTTCAGGTAGAATATTTCAAAAAATAACGCTGGATAAGTCATGTCGTCTAGTGAAATATTAACACAGAAAAAGAGATTTTTATCCTTAACATCATGAGAATACAACATGAAGATGGACAGTTGTGTTTTCATGAACCGGAGTCTGAGAAGTCGACGTGGTTGTCTCAGAAGCCCTCATGAATCATTCACAATCAAGTATTGTTTTTCGGAGATTTGATTGATTACGGGATGAGTGGACCAGCTTCGATCAGTTAGAGAAGCAATGCGAAAGCTTAGTGTCATGTACAGCTGTCTCGTCCTAGTTTCGGACTGTTCCGTGGCACACACACACCACCAGGCTTCGAAATCAGCACCCTCCCACTGCAAATCCGGCTCGTACACCATTCTACCACTGCAATCCGACACAATGTCCTACGAATTACAACTTCCGCCAGATCGTGATTTATGCATAAATCTATATATTCAGCGAAACCACCAACAAGTGTCGAAGGCACCTTATTCACGTAGCCTATTCCGATTGGAACACTACAGAGGTCACCTACTTCCTCTCCAAAACAATAAATGTAGACCATCCTCTCCGCCTAATTTGTCCGTCATATTACCAACTATCACTTTTCAGCACACCCTGTCGTACAAATCTGGTCTTCTCCTGAGTGAATCACATGCTTTTCCACTCCACAGGAGAACATCTAGTAAGTGGAATTTTTCTCCGTGTTCTTCTTTACAAGTGAAAATCACTCATGGATGTACATCATTAAATTTATTACTTATAAGACAGACAACTCATTCTCGTCGCTTCTCTTAATCAAAAATATTTGCATCACCAAAATAACGACAATATGAATCCAGTATACATAGGACATGTTTCAACGCACCAATTTACAACTTGACGAGGGAACACTATCCCAAAATTATACCTGATACGGATTCAACAGTAATACTGTCGAATTGGCTCCATGCTAACCAGAAAATACTGAATGTGGAACACACTCGCACGGTACACCTTCGAAGTAATTCCTTCAGGATGATAACTGGAATGTCAATATCAATCTGCATTTCTTATATCCTTATCCGATGGTACACGAATTCCTCTGTCTAAAATCACTGGTATGCTCATGAATGAACGGTGATAGGTCACCGGATTCGCCTGTTAACTGATAAATTGGTGGTTGGTGCCCACCTGAAGGCGCTTGGGATTTGTGTGGAGGCGGCAGTCATCCAATAATCCGAGTCCTCAGATCCCAACTAGTCGACCATGGATTCTAACACTGCTCCAACCACACAGTCGCAGTTGTGGCTTGCTGCCAATCACATAGAAATACTTCCAAGTTAGTAATCATTCAATGACATTTCATTTCTTTCCGATAGTCATGCTGATGACGATCAAATGTATTCAGCTTCACGTTTATATACTCATCATCATCATCATCACCACAACACCAGGAACAACAAAAACAACAACAACAACAAAATCATCAAAATTAGACGTAATTTCAAAGGAATTATTTCACCCATCCATTAGTTTACGACCTATTTGTTTAAAGATCGTAGGAGTGTTCAACTAATAACCACTTTACAACTGCGTGCTGCTAAGCGGGGTTAGACATTGAAAACTCGACGAAGAGAGAGTCAAGTCCTCGTCTGTGTACTCATTCCACACAGACCACACAATCGTGGCACGCTAATTTCAGTAGGCCAGTCAGGTGAGTCAAATCCAATCTTTATTATTATCATTACTACTATTATTGATGTTATTGTTGTTTTCACATTCAGCGATTTCCCTGCTATTCCGCGCATCTCTTCCGAAGATTTATTCAACTTATTCACAAAACAAAAACCTCTCATCTATCCCACACCTATCACTCTGTCCAATGGCATTATATACTACATAACTTTCGGATTCACCTTGTGCATAATATTAATCAGGAGAGGATTCCAGTGGAGCTGTGTAAACTGACGTCACCGAATACTCGAAAAGTCAAAATTTAACTTGACAATCCATCCTGTTGGACAATGTGAGGAGTGTCGAAATTCTCTTCCGTCCGTGGCCAATAGAACTGCCTTCAAAGCAGCAAGGGAATCTATGGACAGGCACACATTCAACTCTATCAAAGCGACAGTGTTTTCTTCACACAACCACTCGGTCATTTCGGACTCCACTACTCATGAATTCACTCGCTCCTGTCAAGCCAGTCCTACTGACCACTCACAATGGACACTCTCCAAATATCGTGACTCACTCAGTACTCCTACAAAAGAACAATTACCAGCTCAATCCTAGATCGCTTGGTCAACCCAGGCTATCCAGTTCCACTCCAGTCCTCTTTGAAAAGTATCCACAACACAAGGTCAGATGATACAACGCCTCTTAATCCCAATAATTTCACACCTTCTTCTAAAACTGATTCATCCCATGAATGATTTCACATATTGCATAACCTATTCTGTTGTCAGTCAATATTCAACTGTTATATCATCATTACTATTATTATCATCACCGTTCACATTAACATTATTGGCGAGTATTGTATATTTCGATATTTCCCACTGTAACGAGAAGATTCTTCTCAGTCAATCTGCAAATATACCAATTCGTTAACAACTCCATCCTGTGGAGTAACTCAAGCAATACATGTCACATTGTTGAAATTCCCTGTTCACATTCTCCACCCAAGGATGTATCTGGTGTTTCTACTCAATATGAATAAACAAACTGTATGATCAGGATACAAGAAATTCACACTCACTTGGACCGTTCATTGGAAACTCCCTCAATGTCATTTAAAAGTTGATTAGCCCAAATACGCCAGTCAGTGTCATCAGGATCACCTTCAGAAAGTGTTGTATTTGACGACGATGGCGATGACGGCGGAACTGACTCTTGTAATGGAGAGGAATGTCGAAGAGTTACGTGTAAATCACGTTGGCTGGTTTCTAAATTAAATTTATCGCCAAGTTTACGACTTTCCCGATGTATGTCAAGGGATTGATTGATAACATTGCCATCATCACGAGCACTATTTAATTGATTGGATTTTCGAGCCAATATACTAGCAGTCCTGTCATTCGAATATTCTCCTCCTGTATCTGACTTACCAAAATCACTGTTTAACAGAAGAAAACATTGGGAACAAATATTTAAATGTGAGTCTGAAATTAGTGGTGCAAAAAATAGCTAGCTAGTACATTATCTCCACAACCAATAATCTTGATGACATGCTGTTAACAAATAGACTGACTCTGAGTGGACTTGTTTATTCTGCCCATAATCGCTCACTAGATAAGAAAACACCGAATTCCAAATGCTCTAAGCCCTAACTAGAAATATTTCCGACGAAGAGTGAGACACGGCGAGTGAGTGATACCTGGACACAGCTTCAGCACACGTCTACACCACAGAGAAGCAATACGACGTTACACTATCTTTCATACATTCTGAAACCATCTTTCTGTCCACCCTAAACCATATTCACCTAGCAATCAACTTCAATGACTATTACTATTACGACTAGTAGAATGTTCACAAATGCATATTATTCTTTGTTATTGCAGTGTATAACCGTGGGAAATGTATTCTGTCTCTAACATCGAATAGAATGTCCAAATAGATATCTTGTATTCTGTCGCTAAAACCGAAATGAACTGTGGCAATCTGTGAGAATAATATTACGTCGGCACACATTGTCTGTATCACACCATCACACCACTACTCACTCCACTGAACCACAACGAAGCTAATAAACTGAGCTCCGAATCCGGCTGAAGATGCAATTCACCAATGCATACTCTAGTTCAATTCTTACCTCATAGGCGTTGGACTTGAGCCACACAGAACACGTCCTTCATGAACTAGGCAGCACCACACACACACACACACACACACACATGCTGCTGTTTATCTTGCAGTTTGACTGCATTGATTAGTGCCTTGTGTACAGTAGTACTTCAACTTGACACACAACTCACTCCATACACTCACTACACAACGGTAGACAAAGCAACAGAGTGAACACAGAGACATCCAAACAATTCTGATCGACAGAAATGTACATGAGAAAGAATAGTAATATGCAATTAATAGTGTTCTCTGAGCTGGTTGGTTTAGTTGAGGATTTTTCGTCGTCCTTCTGGACAACACCTTCAGTGCAATATTTAGCATAAAGTGAAATGATTTAAATTTTATTCATCACTGATATAATTGCGTCTCCTCGTAACCATCTTTACATATGTATTGACCAGGTGACCAGAAAACTTAAAATCCAAGTCAATAGAAAATGGCCAATACATATGTAAAGATGGTTACGGGGAGACGCAAGTATATCACTCATGAAGAAATTCAAATCATTTCACCTTATGCTAAATATTGCGCTGAAGATGTTGTCCAGAAGGACGACGAAAAAACCTCAAATAAACCAACCAGCTGAGAGATGACTATTTATTGCAAATCATTCACCTGACCTACAAATCTTCTCTATTATTTCAGAATTGTAATATAGCACTGCGTGACGGTTTAATGGATCTCGGAGAGCAGATTTCAACGAGTGAATGCATCACAACCTTTCCCTAGGTATAACGCTGTACAGGGAAATGGGATTCCACAGCACCCAAATGACGTGAGTATTGTTAATATACATGCATATATATATATATATATATATATATATATATATATACATATACATATATATATATATATATAGAAACAATAACGTATACTTACGATTTATTCAACTCAACGTTGCTTCGTGTCATGTTTGACTCAGCCTGTGCGGATTCAAATGAGCCTCGTAGATTACCTGCCGAGTAGGAAAGCAGTTGAAATCTTTTGATGACTGTTAGCGCACCACAATACAATATGAAATACAAATGTTTTATAATTGGGTCACAATGTGTTTCTCAGCTCAAAGACAATCCAATAGCCATTGTGTGAAATAAGCGAAGGCGAGACCTCGACAAGGCAAAGACGGGTAACGCCCTCCTTCCCTCTTCCATCAGACCTGCCCACACACACCACACCGCACACATACCACACTCTACTGGGATCAAGTCAAGCAGTGATTCTCAAACCCTAATATTCAACGCTATTCCTGCACCTGTCAGTCCTCTCTGAGGAATCTCCTTACACTCTTAGAGTGAATTTCTCAGATCCACCTTGTTGGCAGAGTGAGCTTTAGTGAATAGTCGACCACACCAGAGCCTTGTACGCGTGTCTCAGAAACACAACATACACCCATTCCTTGAGATGCCAGAATACTAGCTGGTGATGCCTCATGTCCGATTTGGTGAAGGTTCCTGACGTTAAATACTTCATGGAACAACTACTTGAGGCTGGTTAGGCACACACAGCCTGTCTGAACTGACATTTAGCTTTGGTTTCGCATCATCAGTGACTCGCCGCCAGTTACGGACCACCCTAGGGTAAGTCCGATGTAGAAATTTTGACACCGACCTTTTCTAACCTTCTCTCGTGAGAGGGCACAGGCAGTATAGCTGACTGGCACTTACACTGGCAAAGTGAACAAGCAATGTGAAAGGTTCAAACCACACGAGGTGACACCAGATCACTTCAAGTGGTTGATTTTTACTTGTGGTTTCAAGAACCCAGAAGATGCTGTCATAAGAAGTCGACTTTCATCACTCGTGAAACAAGACCAGGAAATCACTTTACAAATGGTGACAGCGGAGTGCCAACGCTTCATCAACTTGAAGCATGATAGCGCCATGGTGGAGTGTAAACCACAGTCGTCTGAATTTGGTTCAATTAACACAGTGAAAACTCCTCCGATCACCGTTAAGCATACAGCACGCCAGTCTCAAAATTCACCTATACCTCCGTCAGTGTCCTGGTACTGTGGTTCATGGCATTTTGTCAGGTTTTGTCCTTTCAACAAACATAAATGCTGCAGGTATCATCGTTTTCGGCATCAAGACGGTTACTGTCCAGCACAGAAAAATTCTTCGATGAGTAACAGACGACGTAGTCCTCTCAAGACGAAACAATCTCCTCAGATACATACCATTTTCACAACTTCCAAAGTCCATTTCACCAACAAACGCAGGCACATTACGCTATCTGTCAACAGCAAACCTATTCGTCTTCAGTTGGATGTGGCATCAGATGTCACCTTAATTTCCCGAGACACGTGGCGAACACTTGGTTGCCCACAGAAAAGCTTGCACTATGTCGGAAACCGCTTTTAGTCTAATCGCTATCCTAACAATCTTCCTGACATCTTGAGACCTGCAGGGGCATTAGATCCAGCCAGTAAAACCTGTTGGGTCACTGCGATGTGCAAACTCGACTACCATGTCAAGTAACAACTATCGGCCGGATGTTTGTTCACCTAACCTAAAATTCACACACATTTCTCAGCATAACATCTGGAATGAATTAATGTCAGTAAAAAGTCTGCAATGAATTCCATATCATTTCTCCAAGTAGTGAAGAAGCTTCTGCTACAAAACGTGACAACTTACCAGAACTGGTCTCATCCTCAGACAGATAATACACAAAGCTTTCATTTCTCCATGAACTGTCATCTCGAGACTCAATCGTCTCCGTCGTAATATTATCCTCTAGACTGTTTGCAGGACCCGAAGGACTTCAGTCAGTGCAAGTGTAGCTAAGAGTTTCGACACAGTCTTTGATAGTAAATCCCACATTGAAATTAAAATTTTTCGATGACCTAAGGGAAAAAGATATTAGTGATAGTAATAATAATATTAGTGACAATGATACTACTACTACTAATAATAATAATAATAATCATAATAAAAATAATCGCAATAGTAGTAGTAATAGTTCGTGGACTCACTATCTACAAATCACAAAGGATGACGCACACACACGCACACACAAACTTCGAGACACACCCACAATCATAACCAAAGTGATTCAATCTGTCTGACTGACAGTTATCACACATTATTTTTGATGGATACAGAATAATCTGTAGGAGCTGCGAGTATCATCACCGTACGGTTAGTTCACACGAACACTACTGGAAGTGAAATTGTAATCTCCGGAAACACTACAAATTTCAACTGCATTGGAACAGGTGTGCAGCGCAAGCTAGGCGATTCTTATCACAGTCCGTCGGAGACAACTTGATTTTCAGATGAATATCTACAAAGGTGTTAGTTTTAACGAACATTAGGATATTTCTTAGCGCTTCTTTGCGAAAACGAAAGACAATGTAAAAGTATTCAGATATCAGGAATTCACAGAGTGTGTATGTGGTCGGATAGTTCCAGATTCCCAAGGTTTTGTGTTGGGCTTATTTACGCAAGAAGAAGATGATGACCATTGAACAGTCGATTCACTGTGACAACTCACAGTTCATTCTGTATAGACTGTGCTTCGAAAGACTGAAACAAACAAATAAACACGTTATAGCCGTGAGAATAAACAAAACACTACCTTGGATAGACTATTCTCACTTGGAATCTCTCCCCTACAACGAACTAACGCTCCGTATATGATGACCTCATATACATACTGCTTCCTCTGCACATCAATTAGAAGATTTGTGAAGGGCTTGAAGATTTGTGAATTCCTACTAGTTATGATGTCGTTTCTACACATTGGGATTGCTCGCCACTCTCTCCGCCTACCCTAACCTAACCGATCCTCAAATCCTCAGTCCCTACAGCCTAGTAGTCGAACTAGGCGACGATTAGCAGTGTGTGTATGTGTGTGCGCGCGCAGGTCCACGTGTGCCTGCTGGAAATCTAGTCTCACCGCACAATCAAACACACAAACAATCATACGTTAATTTAATAATTACCACTGTAATATTAAGAACACGATATTCAGAGAAGGCATTCTATTCAACGAGATTACCATCAAGCTGTACAATCGTATACATAAGGATTTTAAAACAAATCATATATCGTGAGGGAATGCAATCAAATGCGTGAAGACATGAAACTATAATAATAATAATAATAATAATAATAACAATAGTAGTGTGAAATGCAATTAAAATATTTGTGATTATAATCATAGTTAAATGTCAAGTGGCAGGTGGCAAAACAGTTAATGCCAGATAGACAATAATTCATAAGATTTATAGGTGTTCGAAAAGACTGTATCATTTTAGGGCTGGTAGGCTAATATGAAACGTTACATTACATGGTATCAAATTTGACAAGATACGATTGAACATTGAGAAAATATTTTTGCATTTAGAATGACGAGTGGAGTGGGAGAAGTGGAAACATTTGAAAGTGAGAATCGTAATAACAGTAACAATAATCGCAGTAATGAGGGAAAGGTACATAGAACAACTGAATAAACAAAACGAGTAAAATCACAAAATTGATTGGAACCATGTTGGCATTCTGAAATCTAATATGAACAAATGCAAAGAGAGACTTATACCAGAATCTATATTCATTAAGGTCACACCGGGTACATGTCACAACGGCGACTCAGCACAACTGTCAACAACCTGGAATATAATTTCGGACACACAAAAATGAATGGATAAAAGAAAACTTTACTTATGAGTACAAAGCATTAATGTGTGAATACAAAGCAAAACAACTCCAACAGTTGGTGTGATCACGGACAGTAATTCTGATCGAAATATTGACAATTGACTCCAACCATCTAATATCATCAAACCAATGTGCACCATGATGGCGAGCTACCTAGAATGGTGGCCACATTACAAACCTGTCTGATAGAATTCAATCTGCACCAAAGAAAGGACTAGACACATCACACTACTTACTAGTGTCCAATCACAAGACTTATCATTGTGTGTAAACTATTGAAATACAACTTCATTATATCTAACCTGAGAGTCAGGAAGACTGGTGCAGAATGTCTTAATCGATAGGGGAATATTACACTCCGGACAAGGGAAATTACAATATGCAAGATGGTGTCAAAAATGACATCTTGATTAGAATGAGATTCATTCTAATTAATGACACATTCAACAACTGTGGAGCCTATTATTACTGTCACTTTCATCACCAATCGCCTCTTAAATGACCAATCCAGTTCCCAAGAAAAAAAGACAGAGGGTGACCGAAAGTAATAGCTTCATGCTACTAATGCTACTACTGTCTGATTTGGAAAAGCGAGATTTCAGCAACCGCCTCCTTCGCTATCACAGATAATCAAAGGCTCATAGGATTTTCAAAGAAATCCGACAATGCCATCGATGTATACAACAGATGAATCTCCTAGTGACATAAAGATGAATAGCCTCAGTGTGCTTTAGTGACTATTCGACTACCTTCGACTCGTAGTCAATTCCATTCGAGAAGGGAAGAGACGCTGACTAGAAAAGGTGGGGAAACATGAAAATCTCTCAAATCAATAATTAATAACTAGAGATAAGGGAGGAAGTAGAAAATTTCAACAAAGTTGTTTTAAACCTTACTTAGTTGGCATGTGTTGCATACCTGAAAGCATTTCTCTCCACTAGCTAATTGCTTGTTGTTTCATCTTCCATCGTCAATTTGAAAACTCAATATCCCATGTCTGGTATTACGATTATTATCATTATTATTATTATTATTATTATTATTATTATTATTATTATTATTATTATTATTATATTACTGTCGATCTCGTTTCCGCCTCCCAAATTTTCATGATTGTTATCAGAATTCACAAAGTTATTGACTGAGGGATACAAAACTTGTCGAATGTGACCAAGTATGCATTCAGCGAAGTGACTTCTTATTCTAGAAGATCCGGAATCTGTGTAGGCTGGTTGTTTATTCAGTGACCTGAGAGAAGAACAAACAATAATATCACGATACAACATGCTATCAAAAAGACATAAGATTTAGAATCTGAAACCTTCAGACTTGAAAAATCAACTGACTTGGCCAGAAACGACAAACACCAAGCCGGTTCCCCGAGATAATGTGAAAATTAATCCAGAAGACAGTCTGGTCAATAAAATGACCACCACATGGACGACCTAGTATGGCTGATGATGAGCAGATTTCGGTCTCTCCCTCGAAATCCTATCTCGTGTAGACTCGCATTTGCGGTCTCTGTCAGGACAGTGATACTCACTGACCACTCCTCTTCCACGCAGCGAGTGTTCCTCACGAAACGCAAAACGTGAATTCGACTGGATTGTGTGTGACGTGTGAACCTGTTTTCGCCACCAGAAAGCATGTGGATGTATTTCCTAACACTTCTCCCCTGCTTTGTGCATCATAATTTCCATTAGGAGGAGAATTGACGATGAAGCATACTTGCCGACAAATTTAACGATGTTCATCCTCCAATAAATTTCACCATCGAGAAACAAAGAGACTCTGGTATTTCATTCCTGGACGATGTCCTTATCACTAGAAAAGAGGATGGTACAATAAGAAGAAGCGTAAGCAGAAAACCCACATCAACTAGTCAGTGGACTCATTTTTTCAGCTTCCTACCTAAGAAATACAAACGCAATCTAGTAAAGTGTTTGGTCCCCAGAGCAAGAACAAACTGCTCCAGTGAATGTTTCAGTTAACAGCCAGGAGTTCGTCTACCACGTATAATTCAGGCTATCGAAATCCACATTAAGAAGCTCAACTTACGTGTTCAAAAGTATAGTATGGTGCAAACTCTTTCCTAACCTTGACTATCTACCCAGGTTTTAATAATTCCTAGTTTGTTGTAGGGGATTTCCCAATTTTATTTGACATTCTATTTACGATTACATTTTTATGCTTATCACTAATTTAACCTGAGTATCTTTCTTGAAATGTAATTTCACTCATCTCAACAAATCAATAGTATTAAAAAAAAAAAATACCAAAACTTTGTTAGTTAATGACGACTATTCCAGAATATTTTCTTCTTTCCTTCACCTTCCCCAGTGGAAAATAAGGCTTCAATCTAGTGGCTTGTAGTTTCTGTCGCCGTGTCCACTTTCACAGGATGGGGGTGCTGGAATCATGCCCAAGCTTACCTCTTCACCGAAACACGAATACACGCCATTCCATCCAATCGGATTCGTGTACACCTATGTACCCCATAAGTTCACGATGAGGGTTTTCCAGCTTCTGTAGGCAGACTTCGATGTCCACCAGTCTTCTTGGAACAAACGTAGTAATAAAAGCACTCATTATTAGGAGTGCAACTATGCTCAACTTCTTTCTGCAGTATATAGGCTTCAAGGGAGTGTGTATAAACAAGCTACAACGGATTCACCAATATCCACAAATAGAGGCGAAACATTTAAGGACAGGTGAGGAGAGTTAGCTCTTACGACGTTCACTCCCAACCTTGAAGTACGTGGAAACACATCTTCAACTAACTGATTACCCACATCCTACCGCTTATCCTTCGCTTTCACTGAAGTTTTCCCACCTTCTTCGTGTCAGTGCAAAAACACCCCGAATTTGACCACTTTTCACACTTCTTCAACGGAGTGTCTTCCAACTTCCCCCTCTCCAACCCACATTGTCAGTGTTCTCGAACAGCTCTCCGACTAGACACCTTCTCATCTTGTATTGCATAGTCTGAAGAAAGCATTTGACTCCATATCACAATTTCAAGTCATCTCACCGTAGGTGTTGTTGAAGACAGGATGAGTTGAATGTTTAAGTAGAAGTAGAAGTGGTAGTAGTGTTAGTAGTAAAAGAAGAAGTAGAAGTTCTAGCACGAGGAGAAGGTGGAGAAGGAGGGAGAGAGAGAGGGAGAGGCAGAAAAAAGGCAGTCATTGCGGAATAAAATCCACGTCACGAAGTGAGAAATATTACTAGAAAAGAAGTCAGTTACTAATACTGTATCACTATTTGTTATATCAAATAAACTTATTTCGAATGGAATTCTATTCTATGACCAGAATGTCCCGAGCCCACTGTCTATCTCACTGGTCATCTGTTTGTCTAATCCACACTGCGTATTCACATTCAGCTGATTAGTCTGAAAACAAGTTGGACGACAAAAAAAAGCTGTACGTGTGATCAAATCTTCTCATATATGCCTCCTTACATTTTCATTTCTCTCAAGATGTTGAGTTCTACAAGGATTCGATTAGTGAGGGACCGGTGGAGTTTGACACGTCCGAAGTACAGCGGATGCGCATCACTTGGAGATGGCAAAGTGATAAGAGTTTCAATTCATTAACCATTGAACAGTAACCAAGTGACTGGATGATTAGTGTTTGACTTGTAACCTGATGGTCCCTGAAGGACACAAGCAGCTGAATAGTCTCAAGCTGTGACAAATCATCTGCTCAGTGCTCCGTGGTGACCTACATTCCTCCGAATAACGTCGGTTTCCGACGCAGTCTACATGGAAATCCCGATTTTCTTCATCTTTTTGGAACAGCTTGGAGTAAATGGCCGAAATAAACGTTGAAATCTCTCATGTATATATATATATATATATATATATATATATATATATACATCTATATATCGACCGCTATCTATCTCAAATTTACGCATCGACTATTACACTTCTGAATCTGTTTTCCTGTTAAGGACTTCTTCAAATTTTGTTGCTGTATGAACTTCCCTACTCGTCGTTCAGTGTGCAACATACCTGTTAGATACGAGCAGAGGTCGTATGCTATTAAGGGTAAGAAATTATCCCCAGTTGTGTACAGGAGATTTCCTAAACTCATAGATCCTCAGCCTCACACATAATCAGTAATCCTTTTCAGTTCCGTATGTCACTTTATACTTCACCACACTTGGTCAAATGAACCCTACTACTGAAGACATCTTCTCGCTGGAAATCCAGAAACTTCATCCCGCCCCAATCCAGTACCAGCACTTATATTAAGACTGACTGAGTACTACTGATGACTTCCAAACTGGAAGGAAACAGCTGTACAGCAAGTACTCCTCGACGCTCAATGATTTTACAACCGATGTCAGTGCTTGATGTAGCCGGAAGCCAGTCGAATTTCATCTGCATATACTAACCACTCGAAAGGCAAAACAATCAAAAACCACTTAGCCCTTTCACTTCACTGCTTCTACCAAATTGTATAAAATAACTCAAGGAAAAACAACATTGAAACATAAACATACAGAAAGATTATTCAACATCACTTACACGAGCCTCCTTAGGTGTGGAACAGTAAGATGCTGTTGTCGACGTCGTCAACTGACTTTCCCATATTCGATACAGATCCGTGGCTATAGCATGTTCCCGTGTATCGCTACTATGCTTCATTGCGATACACGCAAGCTCTTTCAGCAAACAATGAATGAAAGCCAATCTTGTCGTAATCACTCCCTCATTCAAATCCTTTTTAATAGGATATAGTAATCCATCAATCAACTTCTTCAATCCCCGTGAAGTTAGCCCATATCTGTTCAGGTAGAATATTTCAAAAAATAACGCTGGATAAGTCATGTCGTCTAGTGAAATATTAACACAGAAAAAGAGATTTTTATCCTTAACATCATGAGAATACAACATGAAGATGGACAGTTGTGTTTTCATGAACCGGAGTCTGAGAAGTCGACGTGGTTGTCTCAGAAGCCCTCATGAATCATTCACAATCAAGTATTGTTTTTCGGAGATTTGATTGATTACGGGATGAGTGGACCAGCTTCGATCAGTTAGAGAAGCAATGCGAAAGCTTAGTGTCATGTACAGCTGTCTCGTCCTAGTTTCGGACTGTTCCGTGGCACACACACACCACCAGGCTTCGAAATCAGCACCCTCCCACTGCAAATCCGGCTCGTACACCATTCTACCACTGCAATCCGACACAATGTCCTACGAATTACAACTTCCGCCAGATCGTGATTTATGCATAAATCTATATATTCAGCGAAACCACCAACAAGTGTCGAAGGCACCTTATTCACGTAGCCTATTCCGATTGGAACACTACAGAGGTCACCTACTTCCTCTCCAAAACAATAAATGTAGACCATCCTCTCCGCCTAATTTGTCCGTCATATTACCAACTATCACTTTTCAGCACACCCTGTCGTACAAATCTGGTCTTCTCCTGAGTGAATCACATGCTTTTCCACTCCACAGGAGAACATCTAGTAAGTGGAATTTTTCTCCGTGTTCTTCTTTACAAGTGAAAATCACTCATGGATGTACATCATTAAATTTATTACTTATAAGACAGACAACTCATTCTCGTCGCTTCTCTTAATCAAAAATATTTGCATCACCAAAATAACGACAATATGAATCCAGTATACATAGGACATGTTTCAACGCACCAATTTACAACTTGACGAGGGAACACTATCCCAAAATTATACCTGATACGGATTCAACAGTAATACTGTCGAATTGGCTCCATGCTAACCAGAAAATACTGAATGTGGAACACACTCGCACGGTACACCTTCGAAGTAATTCCTTCAGGATGATAACTGGAATGTCAATATCAATCTGCATTTCTTATATCCTTATCCGATGGTACACGAATTCCTCTGTCTAAAATCACTGGTATGCTCATGAATGAACGGTGATAAGTCACCGGATTCGCCTGTTAACTGATAAATTGGTGGTTGGTGCCCACCTGAAGGCGCTTGGGATTTGTGTGGAGGCGGCAGTCATCCAATAATCCGAGTCCTCAGATCCCAACTAGTCGACCATGGATTCTAACACTGCTCCAACCACACAGTCGCAGTTGTGGCTTGCTGCCAATCACATAGAAATACTTCCAAGTTAGTAATCATTCAATGACATTTCATTTCTTTCCGATAGTCATGCTGATGACGATCAAATGTATTCAGCTTCACGTTTATATACTCATCATCATCATCATCACCACAACACCAGGAACAACAAAAACAACAACAACAACAAAATCATCAAAATTAGACGTAATTTCAAAGGAATTATTTCACCCATCCATTAGTTTACGACCTATTTGTTTAAAGATCGTAGGAGTGTTCAACTAATAACCACTTTACAACTGCGTGCTGCTAAGCGGGGTTAAACATTGAAAACTCGACGAAGAGAGAGTCAAGTCCTCGTCTGTGTACTCATTCCACACAGACCACACAATCGTGGCACGCTAATTTCAGTAGGCCAGTCAGGTGAGTCAAATCCAATCTTTATTATTATCATTACTACTATTATTGATGTTATTGTTGTTTTCACATTCAGCGATTTCCCTGCTATTCCGCGCATCTCTTCCGAAGATTTATTCAACTTATTCACAAACCAAAAACCTCTCATCTATCCCACACCTATCACTCTGTCCAATGGCATTATATACTACATAACTTTCGGATTCACCTTGTGCATAATATTAATCAGGAGAGGATTCCAGAGGAGCTGTGTAAACTGACGTCACCGAATACTCGAAAAGTCAAAATTTAACTTGACAATCCATCCTGTTGGACAATGTGAGGAGTGTCGAAATTCTCTTCCGTCCGTGGCCAATAGAACTGCCTTCAAAGCAGCAAGGGAATCTATGGACAGGCACACATTCAACTCTATCAAAGCGACAGTGTTTTCTTCACACAACCACTCGGTCATTTAGGACTCCACTACTCATGAATTCACTCGCTCCTGTCAAGCCAGTCCTACTGACCACTCACAATGGACACTCTCCAAATATCGTGACTCACTCAGTACTCCTACAAAAGAACAATTACCAGCTCAATCCTAGATCGCTTGGTCAACCCAGGCTATCCAGTTCCACTCCAGTCCTCTTTGAAAAGTATCCACAACACAAGGTCAGATGATACAACGCCTCTTAATCCCAATAATTTCACACCTTCTTCTAAAACTGATTCATCCCATGAATGATTTCACATATTGCATAACCTATTCTGTTGTCAGTCAATATTCAACTGTTATATCATCATTACTATTATTATCATCACCGTTCACATTAACATTATTGGCGAGTATTGTATATTTCGATATTTCCCACTGTAACGAGAAGATTCTTCTCAGTCAATCTGCAAATATACCAATTCGTTAACAACTCCATCCTGTGGAGTAACTCAAGCAATACATGTCACATTGTTGAAATTCCCTGTTCACATTCTCCACCCAAGGATGTATCTGGTGTTTCTACTCAATATGAATAAACAAACTGTATGATCAGGATACAAGAAATTCACACTCACTTGGACCGTTCATTGGAAACTCCCTCAATGTCATTTAAAAGTTGATTAGCCCAAATACGCCAGTCAGTGTCATCAGGATCACGTTCACTACACAACGGTAGACAAAGCAACAGAGTGAACACAGAGACATCCAAACAATTCTGATCGACAGAAATGTACATGAGAAAGAATAGTAATATGCAATTAATAGTGTTCTCTGAGCTGGTTGGTTTAGTTGAGGATTTTTCGTCGTCCTTCTGGACAACACCTTCAGTGCAATATTTAGCATAAAGTGAAATGATTTAAATTTTATTCATCACTGATATAATTGCGTCTCCTCGTAACCATCTTTACATATGTATTGACCAGGTGACCAGAAAACTTAAAATCCAAGTCAATAGAAAATGGCCAATACATATGTAAAGATGGTTACGGGGAGACGCAAGTATATCACTCATGAAGAAATTCAAATCATTTCACCTTATGCTAAATATTGCGCTGAAGATGTTGTCCAGAAGGACGACGAAAAAACCTCAAATAAACCAACCAGCTGAGAGATGACTATTTATTGCAAATCATTCACCTGACCTACAAATCTTCTCTATTATTTCAGAATTGTAATATAGCACTGCATGACGGTTTAATGGATCTCGGAGAGCAGATTTCAACGAGTGAATGCATCACAACCTTTCCCTAGGTATAACGCTGTACAGGGAAATGGGATTCCACAGCACCCAAATGACGTGAGTATTGTTAATATACATGCATATATATATATATATATATATATATATATATATATATATATATATATATATATATAGAAACAATAACGTATACTTACGATTTATTCAACTCAACGTTGCTTCGTGTCATGTTTGACTCAGCCTGTGCGGATTCAAATGAGCCTCGTAGATTACCTGCCGAGTAGGAAAGCAGTTGAAATCTTTTGATGACTGTTAGCGCACCACAATACAATATGAAATACAAATGTTTTATAATTGGGTCACAATGTGTTTCTCAGCTCAAAGACAATCCAATAGCCATTGTGTGAAATAAGCGAAGGCGAGACCTCGACAAGGCAAAGACGGGTAACGCCCTCCTTCCCTCTTCCATCAGACCTGCCCACACACACCACACCGCACACATACCACACTCTACTGGGATCAAGTCAAGCAGTGATTCTCAAACCCTAATATTCAACGCTATTCCTGCACCTGTCAGTCCTCTCTGAGGAATCTCCTTACACTCTTAGAGTGAATTTCTCAGATCCACCTTGTTGGCAGAGTGAGCTTTAGTGAATAGTCGACCACACCAGAGCCTTGTACGCGTGTCTCAGAAACACAACATACACCCATTCCTTGAGATGCCAGAATACTAGCTGGTGATGCCTCATGTCCGATTTGGTGAAGGTTCCTGACGTTAAATACTTCATGGAACAACTACTTGAGGCTGGTTAGGCACACACAGCCTGTCTGAACTGACATTTAGCTTTGGTTTCGCATCATCAGTGACTCGCCGCCAGTTACGGACCACCCTAGGGTAAGTCCGATGTAGAAATTTTGACACCGACCTTTTCTAACCTTCTCTCGTGAGAGGGCACAGGCAGTATAGCTGACTGGCACTTACACTGGCAAAGTGAACAAGCAATGTGAAAGGTTCAAACCACACGAGGTGACACCAGATCACTTCAAGTGGTTGATTTTTACTTGTGGTTTCAAGAACCCAGAAGATGCTGTCATAAGAAGTCGACTTTCATCACTCGTGAAACAAGACCAGGAAATCACTTTACAAATGGTGACAGCGGAGTGCCAACGCTTCATCAACTTGAAGCATGACAGCGCCATGGTGGAGTGTAAACCACAGTCGTCTGAATTTGGTTCAATTAACACAGTGAAAACTCCTCCGATCACCGTTAAGCATACAGCACGCCAGTCTCAAAATTCACCTATACCTCCGTCAGTGTCCTGGTACTGTGGTTCATGGCATTTTGTCAGGTTTTGTCCTTTCAACAAACATAAATGCTGCAGGTATCATCGTTTTCGGCATCAAGACGGTTACTGTCCAGCACAGAAAAATTCTTCGATGAGTAACAGAGGACGTAGTCCTCTCAAGACGAAACAATCTCCTCAGATACATACCATTTTCACAACTTCCAAAGTCCATTTCACCAACAAACGCAGGCACATTACGCTATCTGTCAACAGCAAACCTATTCGTCTTCAGTTGGATGTGGCATCAGATGTCACCTTAATTTCCCGAGACACGTGGCGAACACTTGGTTGCCCACAGAAAAGCTTGCACTATGTCGGAAACCGCTTTTAGTCTAATCGCTATCCTAACAATCTTCCTGACATCTTGAGACCTGCAGGGGCATTAGATCCAGCCAGTAAAACCTGTTGGGTCACTGCGATGTGCAAACTCGACTACCATGTCAAGTAACAACTATCGGCCGGATGTTTGTTCACCTAACCTAAAATTCACACACATTTCTCAGCATAACATCTGGAATGAATTAATGTCAGTAAAAAGTCTGCAATGAATTCCATATCATTTCTCCAAGTAGTGAAGAAGCTTCTGCTACAAAACGTGACAACTTACCAGAACTGGTCTCATCCTCAGACAGATAATACACAAAGCTTTCATTTCTCCATGAACTGTCATCTCGAGACTCAATCGTCTCCGTCGTAATATTATCCTCTAGACTGTTTGCAGGACCCGAAGGACTTCAGTCAGTGCAAGTGTAGCTAAGAGTTTCGACACAGTCTTTGATAGTAAATCCCACATTGAAATTAAAATTTTTCGATGACCTAAGGGAAAAAGATATTAGTGATAGTAATAATAATATTAGTGACAATGATACTACTACTACTACTAATAATAATAATAATCATAATAAAAATAATCGCAATAGTAGTAGTAATAGTTCGTGGACTCACTATCTACAAATCACAAAGGATGACGCACACACACGCACACACAAACTTCGAGACACACCCACAATCATAACCAAAGTGATTCAATCTGTCTGACTGACAGTTATCACACATTATTTTTGATGGATACAGAATAATCTGTAGGAGCTGCGAGTATCATCACCGTACGGTTAGTTCACACGAACACTACTGGAAGTGAAATTGTAATCTCCGGAAACACTACAAATTTCAACTGCATTGGAACAGGTGTGCAGCGCAAGCTAGGCGATTCTTATCACAGTCCGTCGGAGACAACTTGATTTTCAGATGAATATCTACAAAGGTGTTAGTTTTAACGAACATTAGGATATTTCTTAGCGCTTCTTTGCGAAAACGAAAGACAATGTAAAAGTATTCAGATATCAGGAATTCACAGAGTGTGTATGTGGTCGGATAGTTCCAGATTCCCAAGGTTTTGTGTTGGGCTTATTTACGCAAGAAGAAGATGATGACCATTGAACAGTCGATTCACTGTGACAACTCACAGTTCATTCTGTATAGACTGTGCTTCGAAAGACTGAAACAAACAAATAAACACGTTATAGCCGTGAGAATAAACAAAACACTACCTTGGATAGACTATTCTCACTTGGAATCTCTCCCCTACAACGAACTAACGCTCCGTATATGATGACCTCATATACATACTGCTTCCTCTGCACATCAATTAGAAGATTTGTGAAGGGCTTGAAGATTTGTGAATTCCTACTAGTTATGATGTCGTTTCTACACATTGGGATTGCTCGCCACTCTCTCCGCCTACCCTAACCTAACCGATCCTCAAATCCTCAGTCCCTACAGCCTAGTAGTCGAACTAGGCGACGATTAGCAGTGTGTGTATGTGTGTGCGCGCGCAGGTCCACGTGTGCCTGCTGGAAATCTAGTCTCACCGCACAATCAAACACACAAACAATCATACGTTAATTTAATAATTACCACTGTAATATTAAGAACACGATATTCAGAGAAGGCATTCTATTCAACGAGATTACCATCAAGCTGTACAATCGTATACATAAGGATTTTAAAACAAATCATATATCGTGAGGGAATGCAATCAAATGCGTGAAGACATGAAACTATAATAATAATAATAATAATAATAATAACAATAGTAGTGTGAAATGCAATTAAAATATTTGTGATTATAATCATAGTTAAATGTCAAGTGGCAGGTGGCAAAACAGTTAATGCCAGATAGACAATAATTCATAAGATTTATAGGTGTTCGAAAAGACTGTATCATTTTAGGGCTGGTAGGCTAATATGAAACGTTACATTACATGGTATCAAATTTGACAAGATACGATTGAACATTGAGAAAATATTTTTGCATTTAGAATGACGAGTGGAGTGGGAGAAGTGGAAACATTTGAAAGTGAGAATCGTAATAACAGTAACAATAATCGCAGTAATGAGGGAAAGGTACATAGAACAACTGAATAAACAAAACGAGTAAAATCACAAAATTGATTGGAACCATGTTGGCATTCTGAAATCTAATATGAACAAATGCAAAGAGAGACTTATACCAGAATCTATATTCATTAAGGTCACACCGGGTACATGTCACAACGGCGACTCAGCACAACTGTCAACAACCTGGAATATAATTTCGGACACACAAAAATGAATGGATAAAAGAAAACTTTACTTATGAGTACAAAGCATTAATGTGTGAATACAAAGCAAAACAACTCCAACAGTTGGTGTGATCACGGACAGTAATTCTGATCGAAATATTGACAATTGACTCCAACCATCTAATATCATCAAACCAATGTGCACCATGATGGCGAGCTACCTAGAATGGTGGCCACATTACAAACCTGTCTGATAGAATTCAATCTGCACCAAAGAAAGGACTAGACACATCACACTACTTACTAGTGTCCAATCACAAGACTTATCATTGTGTGTAAACTATTGAAATACAACTTCATTATATCTAACCTGAGAGTCAGGAAGACTGGTGCAGAATGTCTTAATCGATAGGGGAATATTACACTCCGGACAAGGGAAATTACAATATGCAAGATGGTGTCAAAAATGACATCTTGATTAGAATGAGATTCATTCTAATTAATGACACATTCAACAACTGTGGAGCCTATTATTACTGTCACTTTCATCACCAATCGCCTCTTAAATGACCAATCCAGTTCCCAAGAAAAAAAGACAGAGGGTGACCGAAAGTAATAGCTTCATGCTACTAATGCTACTACTGTCTGATTTGGAAAAGCGAGATTTCAGCAACCGCCTCCTTCGCTATCACAGATAATCAAAGGCTCATAGGATTTTCAAAGAAATCCGACAATGCCATCGATGTATACAACAGATGAATCTCCTAGTGACATAAAGATGAATAGCCTCAGTGTGCTTTAGTGACTATTCGACTACCTTCGACTCGTAGTCAATTCCATTCGAGAAGGGAAGAGACGCTGACTAGAAAAGGTGGGGAAACATGAAAATCTCTCAAATCAATAATTAATAACTAGAGATAAGGGAGGAAGTAGAAAATTTCAACAAAGTTGTTTTAAACCTTACTTAGTTGGCATGTGTTGCATACCTGAAAGCATTTCTCTCCACTAGCTAATTGCTTGTTGTTTCATCTTCCATCGTCAATTTGAAAACTCAATATCCCATGTCTGGTATTACGATTATTATCATTATTATTATTATTATTATTACTGTCGATCTCGTTTCCGCCTCCCAAATTTTCATGATTGTTATCAGAATTCACAAAGTTATTGACTGAGGGATACAAAACTTGTCGAATGTGACCAAGTATGCATTCAGCGAAGTGACTTCTTATTCTAGAAGATCCGGAATCTGTGTAGGCTGGTTGTTTATTCAGTGACCTGAGAGAAGAACAAACAATAATATCACGATACAACATGC